TATTGCTTATCACTTAATAAATTATTATTTGAATGAATTAACAATGAATGGCATATATGATGAGGGATATATGTTATTCTCTGGCATTCAGTGTTAATTAAATTTTTCTTTCTCCGACAGCGAGAAAATGTTCATAATTCATATAATAAGCAAAGGGCTAAACTCCCTAATAAGTAAGGAGCTCCTAGAATTTGACTTTTATGAAGAGACTAAAAACCTAGGGAGAAAATGGGCAAAGAATAAAAACACATAAACACAAAAAAATATAAATTATTCTAAACATATGAAATGATGCTCAACTTCATTCACAATAAGGTAAATGTAAATTAAATATACACTAGGATATCCCTTCTTTCCTATTAGATTGATGCATATCCAAAAGTTTGATGGTATCACTTGTTGACAAGATTGTACAGAAATAGGTACTATCCTGTGTTGTTTGAGGACTTTCAAAGTAGTACAACCCATGTGGAGAGCAATTTAGCAGTATCTACCAAAGTTAGGAGTGCAATAACTCTTTGACTTAGCTCTTCTGCTTGTAGAAATTTACTCAATGCAGGGTTAGGCATTGTAGCATTATTTGTAATAGCAAAAGATTGGAACCTATCCAAATATTTGTGTATATGTTAAATAAACAACAGTGAAGTTACACAAAGGAATACAGGTTCATAGTCCCTTAGCCATAATTTGGAAGTCTGGAAGGCCCTGAAAACCAAAAGGTTGTTTTGTTTTTGTTTTAAATTCAGCACTCAAACTCATTTGGTGACAAATCCTGACTCGAGCTGACTGAGGTACCCACCGTGTCTTGGTGCACCTACCAGGTATTCCTGTCTGTTGCTTGCTGGTACTGTTGTTGTTGTTGTTTTGTTACTTAAGGCTTAATTGCATGTGAAAATAGCAAAAATAGTTTAAGCCTACTGGATAATGACGAATAAGAATGGTAACATCTGTCATTAGTAACAGCACAGAACACGGAGTTGTAGGAGCTTATACATGGTGTGTCTGTGTAGTATCCTACCAAAGGAGACAGTATGGGAACTACCACCATACAGGACCATTTGACCTTTCTGGCAATTCTCAAGGCTTGTGTTTCTTTGACCTTGGAGCTTGCTCATTGTGAACAGTCCTGTCCCTAGGGTGTGTGTCAAGAAGAATCATTGTTCAATATCACAGCTCCTGGAGGCTGCGATACCAGTTGGCACTAACAAGAGCCTGACTAAAAATAATTAAAAGGAAGCACTGAAGACTGAGATGTCCATATATGGCTTTGAAAAGTTCTGAAATTTTCCTGGGATTGTAGAATGATCCCCATAGGCAGGGCTGTGCACATACCTAAGAAAGATGGAAGAAGGCCCTAATCTCTTCTCTTTGGCTGACCTTGTGGGTTTGTGCAAGAAAGAAGTGAAGGCTAGTTAGAGTTGTAGACTGCCCACGGAAGTGTTGAAAGCTTGGCCCAACACACAGCACTTCTGCAAAGGATAGGAGACTTGTTGGTTTAAGGCATTTAATAAAATTTATCCAGTCATTAGTAAGAGACTTCAATAGCTGCACATAACAAAGGATACAGGGATTATACACTTAATCCAGGAAAGTCACTTAAATGCACAGCAAAAACAACTGCAAAGTGAAGCCCTAGGACAGGGGAGGGTATATAGAGTATCTGGTTTCCAGAGTTGCACATCGTATTATTTAAAGTGTTCCATTTTCCACAAAAAAAATTATAAAACACTAAGTATGACCCATACACACAAAAAAGGCAATCAATAGGAACTGTAAAGTCCATGTTGGACTTACTGAGCAGAGACCCTAAGTCATCTCCTATAAATATATTAAAAGAACTAAAGAAAGAACAGCACGGATAAATAGCTAAAAGAAAGTATGAGAACAATTTCCCACCAAGTAGAAACAATCAATAAAGTGATAGAAATTATTTTTTAAAGAACCAAATGGAAATTCAGAAGTTGAAAACTATAGTAACTGAAATTTAAAATTAACTGTTTAACTTAACAGCAGATTTGAGCTGACAGAACACAGAATCAAAGAACTTGAAGACAGGTCAGTTGAGATTATATAATCAGGAATAGAAAGAAAAAAGAATGAAAAATAAACAAAGCCTCAGAGACTTGGGGGACACCGTCAAGCATACCGGCATAAGCACAATGAGAGTCCCAGAAGGAGAAGAGAGAAATGTATAAAAAGATTATTTTAACAAATGGTGACCTCAAACTGTCCAAATTTGATGAAAAACTTTAAACTGCACATCCAAGAAGCTCAACAGTGTAGGGGATGGGTTTCTCTTTGGGGTGACGAAAAGTTTCTGAAACTAAATAGTGTTAATGATTGCATAGCTCTGAGAATATGCTAAAAAACTAGTGAATCGTATACTTTAAAACAGTAAATTTTATGGTATGTGAATTTTATTTTAATAAAGCTGTTTAATTAAAAAAAAGTAGGAGGATATTCTTTATATAGAGATGGAAAGATCTCCAAGATGCATATTAAGTATAAGAAGAAAGGAACTTCACAGTGTATACAGTATGCCACTTTTTATAAGGAAAGAGGGAAAGAAAAATTTGTAGTTGTTTGATCTTACATTAAAAAACACTGTAAGGATTCAGTAGGTTTTGTTAGATTCACAGGAAACTAACAAATATGGTCACCCAGAGAGCTGAAGTGAGATGACGATTGCAATTTACAGAGACACGTGGAAGCCAGACTTCTCATTGTATCCCTTTTCGTATCAATTTCTCATTTTGAGAAATTTTCAATTTCTCACTACGTGATTTTTTAAGTGACTTTCTAAATCCCTATGGGAATTTATAGGGGAAAACTCATGGGGAATCTATTGGGGGAAACAGGCTACAAATAAGTAAATAAATATTTTCAGAATTTTCCTTTCCTGTAGGCTATTTTATTTCATAAATTGATGTTTACTTACATGGCCCAAAATGTAGGAGATAAAGGCCATTTGAATACCCGAAATCTATTATGAGTAGGCAGTTTGCAGACTGATTTATTGTTGTTGGTGTTTAAAAATCTCACTTATAAATGAGAGATGTTTTAGATGCTGAGCACATTTTCCTCTGCAAACAATACAATGAAGAACGAGTGAGTAGAACATAAACAGTAGATTCTATGGTCAGATCACAAAAGCTGACCATAATGTCACTGGACTGTATTGTAACGGGACCATGAATATGGAATAGACTTAAGTATTTCTTGAATTGACTAAAGTTTTTTAAAGTTTAAGCATCTG